TTAAGACACTCCAAACAACTCCTAAATTATTTATAGTCAGTTAAAAAAGTCAATTGTCATATTACTTGTTTTCATTATTATTATTATTATTTTTTTTAACAACTTTCTAAATGCATTAATTTAAAAAAAAAATAAAAATCTCAAACGGCTTATGCAGTCAAGTTCTCCACGAAATATAGAATTTAATATTGACAGTCGGAGGACTGTCAAAAACTCTTACCTCCACTACAACTGTCGTGGGAGTGTGAGTAAGAGTATGGTTAGATTATGAATAAAAATAAATTTAAAAAGTCAAAGCGATAAAGTAGGTTGGATGTTAAATTTATTAAAAGAAGGATTAATTATACTAATACTTCTTATAGTTTGGGATTTGTGTCACTTTGATCTTTGACTTTTTAATTGTGGCACTTTTGATTATGAATTTTGAATCTTATTCCAAATAAGGACAATTGAAAATATTATTAGATTTTTTAACTATAAAATCGTCAATTTGATAAAGTATAAACTAATTTGACAAAAATAAATGTCAAAAAAATATTTTTAATTTTTTTAAAATTCTTTTTATCTACCAATGATAAAATTATGTAAAATTAATAAAAATTGCATGATTAATTTTTTAAAATTAATTTTACATGATCATCATCCAAACACATAATAAAAATTAATTTGGTAAAAAAATAAATAAATATCTAAAAGATTTATCAATTTTACATAATTTTATTTCTAGTAGATAGAAATAATTTTTAAAAATTCAAAAATATTTGTTTGACATTTATTTTTGTCAAATTAATTTATATTTTATCAAATTGACAATTTTATCCTTGAAAAATCTAATTATATATTCAATTGCCCTTATTTAGAACAAGATTCAAAATTCAAGGTTAAATGTGTCACAATTGAAAAGTCAGGGACAAAGTGACACAAACTCCAAACTATAGGGACTATTTGTATAATTTACCCTTAAAAAAAAATAAAATAAAAGTGAAATAAAAATAAAAATAGAAACATTTACACACAAATTTTAATTTATAAACTTACATTATAATTTTTATCCCTTCCATGCGTTGAAGCCAATTTTCTAATCATAAAAAATTTTAAATGCCCAACGCTGCTTATGTTTTTTGAGTTTGAATTTTTACTTCAAAGTCAAACGTCATAAAATTTTGCATCATAATTTATTTATGTATTTATTTTAAATTTGTCTTACATTTCTTCCCGGGTGGGTACAAAATCCGGTATAAGATCACCTTCAATCGGTCAACAAAAAAAGCTGTAAAAAAAATTTTAATTAAATGTGGTCGACAAAAAAATTGATTAATTAATTTTTTTTGGATATTTTATTTTTTTTATTCATCTAATTAAATAGATTCTAAAAATAAAAATCTTAAAAAAATAAATAAAAAAAAACTTAACAATTAAATAGAAAAAAAACTCAATCACTAAAAAAAGTAATCACAAACAACTCCTACATGTATATCAAGAGATTGTTTAGTTAGAAGGGAAAAAAAATACGAGATAAAATTAAAAAAATTAATTTTAATGAAATAGAAAAGACAATTTAGATGGTTAATTGCAAATTTTGCTTTAAGCTTATTAATTAAAAATAATTTAAAAAAATAAAAAATATCATTATCAGAAAATTAGAGCAAGAATATTTTACACGTATATTTTATAATTATCAATTTTTTAAACTTATAATCAATTTATAAAACATGTCCTTAAGTGCTAACAAACCGGACCATAATTTAACTTTAAAAAATAAATAAATAAATAAAAAGTCTTATTAACAAGTGTCTCTAGAACATAAGTAAATGACAAAATATTTGAAAAACAAAATACACTTTTAACCAATTTTGATGTACTTTTATTGAAGTCAATATACTTTTTAATATTTTTGTATATTTTCAATTTTTTTAATACAATTCTTAATATTAAACAATACACATAAGACATTTATCAGCATTTGTCATAAATAAATAATAAAAAACTACCACTCAATAATTCTATCAGGAACCGTGATTCAGAGCTCTAAACATTTTAAACAATTGACAAGTAAAAAAAAAAATTAAAAATTAAAACTAAAATATCATATCGTTTGTATAGATCCCACCTTTAAAACTCTCTGGAGCTTTCAAACATTTCTCTTCTACCAAAAAAAATCATTACATAATCATGAAAAAATTTATTACATAGTCACGAAAAAATTTATGTTTTAATTATTATAATAATGATAGAAACCTATTTTTAGAGGATTTCACAATTCTTAAAATAATCCACCCCACTTATAATGTGAGTCCTACATATATATGAGTAAATTTCACACATCATGACTGATGTGTAAATCATTTTCAAAATTGTGGATCTCCAAAATAAAAATAAAAATAATTGTTAGTATTATATGTTAGTGATGTTAGTATTATATTATTATATGTTAGTGATGTTAGTATTCTATGTTAGTATTGCTAGTGTTATCATTATGTTTAGTACAACATTATGTTAGCTTTAATAATTATCCTTGCTTTATGCTTTCGGTGCCTCAATTGGCACCCTATGTTGGCTTTCTCCTCTCTATAAAGAGAGTGTAGATCTCTTTGTAAACATACAGAATAATAGAGATAATTCAGTGTCTCTCTCTTTTATCTTCTCTCACTCTCTCAATTTATCTTACATGGTATCAGAGCTAGGTTAAGAATGTAATAATTTCGCTTCACCGGCGGGTGACAACCTCGCCTTGGTCGCCCGCCGGACCTCAACCTAATTCGTTAGTATTTTCTACACATACATTCACTCTTCTTCACCACCTCGCCGAAGCAAACCCAAAATCCCTCTGGGACATTTCGTCGAACACCATGTCTGCAACGATGAGCTCTCAGGTATGCAGATCTGCTTCCCGAGCTGCCAGGTCTCTACTCTCTGCTTCTAAGCAGACCTCTCATGTCTTTTCTGAAAGTCGAGCTGTAGCTAGTGCTGCGACAATTTTATTAAGAGGAAAGGTGCCTTATTTAGCTTCATACGGGAGGACCGATTCTGGAAATACGTCCCGAGGATGGATGTCTGGGGCGCTTGCCCTTCCTGCTGCAGCCTACATGCTTCAGGAGCAGGAGGCGCATGCTGCAGAGATGGAGCGCACTTTCATTGCTATCAAGCCCGATGGTGTTCAGAGAGGGCTGATTGCAGAAATCATATCGCGTTTTGAGCGAAAAGGTTTTAAGCTTGTGGCGATTAAAATAGTGGTTCCTTCAAAGGCTTTTGCCCAAAAGCATTATCCTGATCTCAAGGAAAGACCTTTCTTTAATGGCCTGTGCAACTTCCTTAGTTCTGGCCCTGTCATTGCAATGGTCTGGGAAGGCGAAGGAGTGATAACATATGGCAGGAAGCTCATTGGAGCCACTGACCCACAGAAATCAGAAATCAGCCATGGGAGAGATTGGACTTTTTGGTGTAAATTCAGACTGTAAAACCCTTTATCCAAGAAAGCATGCCTGGAACAAAGTTGCAAATATATTATTTCTGGAGTCCCTTTATTATAACAAAACAATTAAGCTACTGTCATCTTCCCTCTCAAGCAAAAGGTCACCGCTTTACATGATGTAGTAAAGCTAGTTTTTTTTTTGAATAAAGCTTTGGACCCCCAGTGGGGGTACTGGGGGTCCCCTCCCATTGGTCCAACCAAAAAAACAGTTTTTTTTTTTTTTTTTGAGTTTTCAGCCAATCCCAGGCCGACACGTGGCACTGGGGGTCACTGAGGGTCACCCCCACTGGGGGTATGTAACATTGCTGATATCCAAAATTATCAAATAATTTTTTCACTACACGCCAGCGAGGTTGTCAGGTTGGTCAGCGAGTCAGAGCCCCACCATTTTTTTAGTCTACGTGCGTGGACGCAAATCATAGAAATATTTTCTTCAAAACCAAGGCAACGTTTGATTTAGTTTTTAACTTAACCTATGACCCGTGTTGTGTACGAAATAATCATAAATATTTATATTTATTTTAAATTTTTTTTATATATAAATTATGTTTTTTAAATTTTTTTATAAAAATAATTTAACAATCTTATCACTAACCACAGTGTATGAGAGAAGTTGAAAAGGGTACTGCATTTAACTATACATAGATTGTATCTATAATTATTTGTATAAGGGGATTTTAAATGTTGATTAGAGAATTTTGACCAAATCAATAAATGTAGGATTGTGGAAAAACATGTGGATTGAAAAAAGTTAATAAATGCTGATCAAGAAATTTTGACCAAATCAATAAATGCTGAGTTTTTTTTTTTAATAAAAAACTTAGAAAATTCAGATTGAGATATTGAAACTCCCACAGGCCTTGAGGGTTAAAAACTCCATTTTACTTAATATAAAGTATAGATTAGTTATGATATTATTATTGATATATTTTTAATTTTTTTTAAGGTAATAAGGAAAGTTAAGACAACAGAAAAAAAGGGGAGGGAGGGGGGGTTTAATCCATCTCGTACACAATTCCAACTATATCAGTCACTAAAACGGGCCTTAACACTATGATTCGATGGAGTGATTTGGAAAGAAAAGAAAAGAAAAGAAAATAAATAGAGTGATATGTATTTCTCTTATTTGTTTGGATAACATAAATAGAGAGAAATGAGAAGAAATGAAGAGAAATTGAGAGAAACTCATTTCTCTTATAAATTTCATTTTCAATCTTTTCAAAATTAAAGAGATTGGGAGAGAAAAGAAACCACTATTTTCATAATACCAATTTTATCCCTATAAAAATAAAAAAAATAAAATGATTGAAAATATAGAAAGGTTATTTTGATAATATAATATAAAAGAATTTCTTTTATTTTCTCTTAATAAAATCTAACCAAACAAAAATAAAAGAAATCACAATCATTTCTTTTCTTCTATTTCTTTCTTATTTAAATAAAAAGAAGAAAAATCACAATCACAATCACAATCACAATCACAATCACAATCACAATCAATTTTTTTTTTTTCTTTTTCTGTCATTTCTTTTTTTTTTTTTTTTTTTCTAACAAATATGTGTCTTTATAGATATTCAAATCTTCCACCTGGTTTTCACCCACATGAGCAAGGCATCCGCGCACCTTCTTTAGCATTTTGTAGTGGACCAAATCTGTTCTTCTCCAAATTGGGTTGGTTCGTTATAGGTTTCTTCCCTTGGTTTGGTCGTTTGGGCTTTCGAGCTACAAGCATCCATGGCCCGGCCCATACCTGGTTTCGTCTGATCCGGCTCCATAGTTTCAGCAGAGGCTGAGTTTTCCACGCGCCGGTGTGCCTTGGTGTTGTCAAAAGCTGCTGTGGACTTGTCTGGGTTCGTAGTCGGAGTCCTTCCACAGTGTTCTTGCCGGTGACCCACCCTGCCACAAGAAAAACAAAAAAGGTGTTAGTGTTCATATTCTATATTATAGACATATTTACCTATAGCGAATTGCGAAGTTAGCGGGTTTCCCAGGTTGATTTCTACACAAACTCTAGCATAGCGCCCTCTGGTTGTTGTAGCAGTGTTGAGATCAACTTTGATTGGTTTGCCAATTAGCTTGGCTATGTGGAAGAGGACCTTTTCATTGTAGTATTCAATAGGCAATTGTGGGAACCTCACCCACACAGCTGTGGAGATGTCTTCAGCTACAGATGGCTTGAAATCTGCCTTCCATTTTCTCACAGTCAAACAGTGATCTAAAATAACCCATGGCCCTCCTGTGAATACTTTTGTGAAATCTGACTTTACCTCAAACTTCAATAGGAAAAAGCCTAATCCCAGATCAACAGCTTCTAAATCACCTTGGATTTCCCACAGCCTCTTGACCCTATTCAGCCTCTGTTTGGGATTGGCTTTTTTGGGCTTTTTTTGGCTAAAATAGCCACAAAAAACAAAATAGGCTATTTTAGCCACAAAAAACAAAACATCAAATCCAACCCATAATCATTACAATCCTCTCTCACAAAAAAAGCCAAAAAAATCAAAAAGCCAAAAAGCCCTTCCCAAACCAGGCTAAAATAGTCCAGGCTAAAATAGCCAAAAAGCCAAAAAGCCAAAAAGCCAACCCACTTCCCAAACGGAGGCTCAGAAGAGCTTTGTAACCTATGCTCATGCCCATTAATTTAACAATTAAGCAATCCTTCCATGGCCTTCGGATTTTCTTTAAAAGGCTTTGAGGGAGAAGGACTCTGGGTATAGAGGTGTTGAGATTTGAGTCCGCCTCAGGTAGGTCTTCCATTTCTCCATCACTCATGAGCTCATCGTCGGTAGAGAGACTGTCCGCATCACTATCGAAAAGTTTTTCGTTGAATTTTGGGTCTAGCAGCACTTGCTTGAAGGATTTTTGCTGGATTTCAATTTCTTGAGCCCTAATACGTTGGTCCCCTTTTGCAATTGGGTGTGTTGGGAACAAATCTTCAATTGCGTTTGCAGAGGGATCAAGCATTTGAGCATCAGCTGCAGTGGACAGGGTATTAGGCTTGGTTCCTCTACAATGGTCACTGGTTGGCAACCAGCAAGGAGATGGGGAGGATTCGGTGAAATCTCAACCATAGTGTGATCTTCATTGTTGATCGTAGAGTCGGGATCATCAGAGATTGTTCCGGCAGAGATCAGAGTGATCTCGCCGGAAGAGGCCATTGTTGGTGCGTAGATCTCAAGCTATCCGTTAGAGAGAGAGCTATCCTCTCATTCGGTTTTCATTGAGAAACTGATATAGATAGTATGCTATGGTTCAATTTTATCGATTTACTAATTTGATGTTAAAAAAAAAATTACATGAAATTTTAAAACATTTCATAATAGATTATAAAATTTTATACATATTTGGCCTTACTCATTAGCCACATTACAAATACAAAAAAATCTCTTAAATTATGTAACATCATCAATTGGTATACTAGTTAGTATACTAATTAGTGCATATAGCATTATTCGGGTATTTAAAGTACGACTTGGGGCACAGCAACTGTTGTGCCTCATTTTGAAATGTATTATGGCTCAGGGGGCGGGATGTAATTTCCGAAACCTCAGGGGGGTATCTGTAATTTAACCAAACCTGGAGGGGTGTATATGTAATTTGCCCTTATAAAATTTTATACATATTTGGCCTTACTCATTAGCCACATTACAAATACAAAAAAATCTCTTAAATTATGTAACATCATCAATTGGTATACTAGTTAGTATACTAATTAGTGCATATAGCATTATTCGGGTATTTAAAGTACGACTTGGGGCACAGCAACTGTTGTGCCTCATTTTGAAATGTATTATGGGTTTATTTTTATTATCTGAACCGTTCATTTTGTAAGATTTGTTGAGTACTTCAAGCCTACCAAAAATCATATTAATCGGATATCAATAACTCTATGATCGAATTGCATATTTTTATACTATTTTTCAAAAGAAAAACTTCTTGTTTATATTTTTGGTTATCAATTATATAGTTATTGGTATCCGATTAATATGATTTTTGGTATGCATGAAGTACTCAACAAACTTTACAACATGAACGGTTCAGATTATAAAAATAAATCCATAATGCACCACAAAATGAGGCACAACAGTCACTGCTGTGCCAATTCCTTTAAAGTATATTTTGCCTTCCTTCTAGTTTTAATTTTTGTGATATTTGAATGGAAATATGAGAAAATGTTAGCTTATTTCTAGTAGTCTAAGGCTGTGTTTGGTTTATGTATTTGGGTAGGGATTTGGAAAGGAAAATGGAAAGGGGAAAACTGTGTGAAAGGTGTATAAAATGTAGAAATCTGCCTTATTGGAGTGTTTGTAAGATTTGAGTATGTGAAACTTCTCATACTTTGATGTTAATTCTACAGCTTTCATTGTCTTTTTAATTAGTAATTTTGTGAAGTATGACCTTTGTTTTAAACCTAAGTTAAGCTGTTTTAGCATTCTTGGAGCATATTTGGGTATCCGGAATTTGTGCTGTGTTTTCTGTTAAGTAATTGTTTTATTAAAAAAAAAAAAAAAAAAAAAAATCTGTATAGTGTAACATATTCATAGTTCCAGTCTTTCAACTTGATTTGCCATATTTCCATAAATATTGAGTTGTGGTAAATTATTTGAAGACCTGTATTGTTTAGTTTTTCTCCCTAATATGATTTGTCTGTTTAAGCCACGTCGGCTTAAAGTCTTCTTTGATAACTTTTATTAATCTATTCAATATTTTAGGAAAACTGTTGCTTTGTAAGAAAACGTATTGAAGCGAACAATATGACTTAGACCATGTTTAGATTATGAATTTGGGTAGGGATTTGGAAATGGAAAGGAAAATGTGGGGGAAATGTGAATGAAATATAAGCTAAGTTTTTTCTCCACTTCTCTTGTCTTTTCCTTTCCCTTTCTTTTTTCAAATCCTTATCTAAATTCATGATTCAAACACAACCTTAAGGTTGATTGTTTCACTCTTGGAAATTTAAGGTAGCTTGGCATTTGAAGAATTCATCTTGGCAATACGAACATTCTCTATTCCAAACTGGTTATTGTTGGTTTTGCAATTAGGCATGGGCTGATCGATATTCCTATCCTTTGGCTGTGGTGTTATAGATGCTCATATTGTTAGCAATGTCAGACTTGTTTCCGAAGTTGGAGTTTTGAAGGTAAAAAATTAGTGGTTTAAATCCTCAGGCAGTTTATGACATGGCCGATAGCCGAAACATGGCAATCTCATTAGAATATTTAAAAATTAAAAGGTCAATATATGCTCGTGTCTTTGGGTTGCATCCTTGTTCAGTTTGGGGATTTATACTGTTATGAGCTGTTATTTATGTGCTACTTTTTATTTAATTTTTGTAAAAAACTTTGTCTGTGTCTGCATTTGGTTTCTTTTCTTGGTTGATAGATTCGAAAACTGGATAGAAGTTCATGTTTAATTGGATCCCAGGGGCTTTGTCGAATACCAGCTTTTCTAACTATCTAGTTGGGCTCATTCTTATTCCTTTTGAAATGAAAAAATTGGCCATGATTTTAATACTTTCTTTTGATCAGACTTCATTTTTTTCTTTCTAGAATCTAATCTACCATGAACTTATTCCAGTTGTATACAGGACCATCTCTGGATTTCCTGAAGTTCCATCATTTCGTTTTTATTTTGTTGAATTGTATTTTTGGAATCAACCATGAGTACATTTTTTTCTTTTTAGAATCTACCGTGAGCTTATTCCAATTTTTGCTATCTCTGTCTCTTTTCATTTGTTTAAACCTATTTTTGTTTCTATTTCTTCATACAGTAATTTAAAAGAAAAATTATGGAAGACAAGTGTGCAATTGCAAAAGATGTTACTGAGGCAAGTTTTTTCATCATCTGACAAACGTTCTTAGTGGTTCCATGTTTCCTTGATTTTAAGTCACTTTAGCAGCTTTGTTTCTTAATCTACAGCTGATAGGAAATACCCCAATGGTACTTCTCAACAACATTGTGGATGGTTGTGTAGCCCGTGTTGCCGCCAAGTTGGAGATGATGGAACCCTGCTCTAGCGTGAAAGACAGGTAGTCTCTTCTTTCTTTTCTTTCTCTTTTCAATTTTTTCCCTGATTCTATTTGTTAGTTTTGCATTTTGTTTAGAACTGAGCTATGTTGCAATACTGAAAATATGGATAATTTTTTTTCTTAAATTGCTAATGAACATGATTTTTATTTTTTTTGGCACATAGGATTGGGTATAGTATGATTCAAGATGCAGAAGAGAAGGGCCTGATTACCCCTGGGAAGGTTAATTGAATTCCTTCTATTGGACATATTTTGATAAAATTGTTACATTTTATACTATTTTCATCAAATACTAGAGCAAATTATCTTAAGCTTTAAACCTTAAATACAATTCTAAAAGAATCTTACCCTTCCGATATTTGAATAAGGTTTAGCATAATTATATTGAAATTATGGTTGTGTTTCAAAAGGTAGTTTTCATATGAATACTCTGGATTGTAAAACATTTTGAACTGAGACATTTTTGTTGGTTTTGATTATGCTAATTTAATGGTGGCTGAAGACGTTCTCATTGAGGCTACCAGTGGTAATACTGGCATTGGCTTGGCATTCATTGCAGCTGCTAAGGGCTACAGGCTTATTCTAGTTATGCCATCTTCATATAGTATTGAGAAAAGGATTGTTCTCCGAGCTTTTGGAGCAGAGTTGTACATCTCAGATATAACAAAAGGTATTGCTGGGGTTTTCCAAAAGGTTGAAGAGTTACTGGAAAGGACACCAAACGCTTTTTATCTGAGGCAATTTGAAAATCCTGCCAACCCAAAGGTACTATTTGAATCAATATATTGTAATGGGGATACCTATCCCAATAAAAAAAAGGAAGAAAATCTTGTAATATGGATAGATGGTAAGAAATTTTGCTCATGAGTTTGTCATTCTATAGATTCATTATGAAACCACTGGACCAGAGATTTGGAAGGGCTCTGAAGAGAAAGTTGATGCCTTAGTTGCTGGGATAGGGACTGGGGGCACTGTCACTGGTGCAGGGCAGTTCCTCAAGCAGAAGAATCCACACATAAAGGTTTTTTTCCCCATTGTCTGTGTGTGTGTGTGTGTGTGAGAGAGAGAGAGAGAGAGAGAGAGAGAGAGAGAGAGAGAGTTTCTTGCATCTCATTCATGTTCTTTTTGTTGGTGTCCTTTTGTTTACATTTAGGTCTATGGAGTAGAACCATCTGAAAGTGCTGTTCTGAATGGAGGAAAACCTGGTTAGTCATGTTGTGTTATGTGCATTATTCAATATCATTAATTTTGGTGTTATTATTTAGCTGAATTTTTCTGTGCTTGTGTAACACTGGTTCCTCTATACTTGGCACATGCTACGTCATTTAATTTCATTTTATCAAA